CATCCAGAACTGCCATTTGCTGTTTGAAATGTCATTCGGATTGGCCTGTGGTTCGGTGCATCATCCTTCCTCGCCCTGTTCGCTTAGGCGTCCGCACTACACATTCATCGTCTGCGTATCTCTCAGTAACTCGTTTCGCTCAATAGTTATCCATAGCTGCTCAGACTAATCACACCGAGATCGATAGCCCGATCAGCAAGCGAAAGTCGGTCTCTTAGTCGACTTTCAAGTTCAGAATGTTGGAAACAGACTGGTACTATTTGGTATATTTGTAATGAGATTATCAGTACCGCTATCTCTGACATGCTTGCAAGACATTGGACGGCTGTACCACAGGTGATCTGGAAACCTATGTAGACGAATGTAGATACGGGTACCTTCATCGCTTCCTATTTTTGCTAATGACAACATGTGTTGGTGACGCAGCAGACCGAGATGAACAGAAAAACCTGGAATGAGAGAAGAGAATACCTTTCACAGGCAAGTTAGGGTGGTCGTGGTTCGTTTGATTATCGCAACAACAACAAAACTCCCGTGGTCCGGCTATTATGAGTCTATATATTAGTTATGGCCTGTTGAAAATAAACCCCTTGACAGAAACTACAGCAAGCGAGATTTGGCTTCCCAGAGCAAATATTGAGATTGAAGCAAACTTGGTAATCTGCTGGAAAAGTGCGCGAATTGAACGTGTAGGAATCACTTATTTCAGCGTTGACTCTTCATTTGTGATACTGACTGAGAAAGAACTGAGAAAGCTGGTCTGTGTGAACTGAAAAGGGAGTGGACACCATCGAATCTACCTAGGTTTTTACGACAGTGTCGATAATGAAGTCCAGCGTAAGAACGTCTACCTGTTCCATCTAACATTTTTAAACCCAAAAGATGATAATTTGTTCGATCACAGCGCTCACAGATCGTTGAATTCACACCACCTGTCTCGCTTTCCTTCAGTTGGTCAATTTAGAGATCATACAGCCTGGGTACAACAGTAAGATTGGTCTTCCCGGTCCCTACATGTGTCATTTGTCCACCTTTTCGACACACCATCGCGCGTGTAGTTTTGCAGTCTAGAGCGTCAGTCTTTCTGTGATATTCACTGAATAATTCCATTACATTATAGAAAGAGGCACGACAGCGAACAATCTCGTTTTCGGTCACTTCATCCGCTGGCTAATACAGTCATATATATATATATATATATATATATATATATATATAATATTTGCAATAAAAGTGGTGACCAATAGTGGGAAGACTAGAGCCCTAGTGTTTGTGGACAGCGAGTCCGACTGACATTGGGGAAGGAGCATTTTGCGAGAAAACACCAACTCGAGAGAATCTCCACGTTTCTAGCATGGAGCACCGTGGGTAGGACTAAGGTCATGGATATTTGCCGTGTACGACTGCAATTCGTCTATCTCGATGAAAATGAACGTACCGAGTCCCTGGAGGCTTTCACACTGAATGATCTGTCGATGCAAACCCCGAATTCAGTACACTCGATTTCATCCAGATAGCTTCATCTTTAAAATGTAGCGATCATAAACTGGGAGAATTACGAAGTGGATACCCTTATTTGTGACCTGTCAGAAGTACTTTGGGTGGTGGACTAGAGAGTAGGAAGTCTTCAGGCGCCCCATGCAGTACTCTCCACATTGGATGGAATACTATACGAACCTACGGGGCTGCGTGGATCAGTAGATTATGCGTCCATGGCAAAAGAAGACACGAAGCTGCTATTCCGTCTCAATGACTACGGGTTTCACGGCATCCGGGGATGATCGGTAATCATTATCACGAGGTGACTGGCTTTCTTTAGAGATAGATCGGAAATGGACCAGAGACCCATCGAATCAATTTACAGTGCCCCAACCGTGGCGTTTCCAGACCAGTCACCTCGTGGATAACAAGAACTACGTTCTTCGCAGATTGCTACAATTGAGGGGAGACTTTATCCTGATGAACACCTGTGTAAGCGGTACTCAGACGCAATGATGTGCAGTAAAACCCACGGATACGCAAATGAAGTAACTGCTACTTTTAACGTCGGAGGAAGAATACAGTACCTGCTACACCATCCGATTTTTCAACCCTAAGAAACCTCTAGAATCACCATGCTGTTTTCGACTGAGCTGCCCGGTTCCAAGGAAATTCATTGCATTATCGGTTGGTACAAGGATCAGACTGGACAACGCCGCTGATTGAGGTTCTTTGCCAATTCAGGCTAGATAGAGTGGAAATATCAGCAGAGGAATGAAAGGCATTACAACTGTTGTGGTGGGACGAGAAAGATATTGACAAACCTGTGATAGAATACTGGAGGAATGTTCATCCATTCGGTGCGATATCATCACCCTCCTGTGCGAGTTGTGCCGTAAGGGAGACCACAGCCAGGTACGTAGCGTCGATCAGCCGGGAGGTAGTAGACAGCTTAAGCAACAATTTCTATATTGACTACTAGTTGAGTCATGTGATGACACTGACGAGGTCGCAAACCCCTCGGTTGGGTAGACAAAAATACTAAAAGTGGTTGTTCCCACCTTACGAAAAGGATATCAAAAACTCCGGGGATGTTGAGGGCCGAAATCAGAAGAGGTTCGAGAATTCAATGGTTCACCATTCCTGGTGGAATAAACTCCAGAAATACAATGGAGTGCTAACACGGTTGAGTTTGTTTTCGGGCTGAATATCCACGATTATCCAGTCACGCGCAGAAGCATTCCGTCTTTCATCTCCTATTTGTACGACCCCCTTGGGCTAGTTCCTCCTCCGTTGTTCTCCAAAAAAATATACTGCCTAACTTTTCAAAAAAAAAATGGATTTATGAATGAACATAATAAACTGGGAAAGTTTCCTGGTCACCCTCAGTTAAGTAAAGAAAATACGAATTCCGAGATGCCTGCCTTTGAGTGACACAGAACAAATGGGAGATTCGCACATATATTCAGATGTATCAGTAGTGGGTTACGAAGTGGCGGCTTTAGGCAGCTGGGTGGATGTGGGTGAGCATAGGTAAAGCAGATTTCTATTCGCCAAAGCTAGACTTACCCCACCGGAAACGAGGTCTATTCCCGAGTAGGTATTGACTGCTGCAGTATTATCCGCGAAAGTGACCAACACATTGTTTCGCAGGAGTTATCGTGGAAACTACACTTCGCACCGATTCCTCCATTGTGCTTCAATTTATCTGTAATACGGGTACCCGCTCCAACACCTTCGTCGCAAATAGGTCCACAAATACTCATGAGTTGATTATCATAAACCAATGGTTTTTTGAGCAGTTACCTAGAAACTCGGCTAACTTCTGCTCACGAGGCCTAAAGAATCTAGATGAGTTGATCAACTGAATAAATAGACCTGAGTTCCTGAGCCTGTGCGAAAAAGAATTGGCCGTTATTCTCCTTACCCAAAGTATGAGACGTAGACTTTAAACCAAAACACGTGGCACTGACGATCAGTGTCACCAACAACAATATATTGCTGAATAAATTATGCTACTTATACTCTTGGATCATATTGCTCAGAGCAGTGATACGGTGGACGAATGTGGTTGAATTTGTAATCCTTGTGTCCAACCGTCTAGGTCGGAGAAGAGACATGACTCAGAGTCAATTTGATGATGTGTTTTGCTTGGGCTGATAAACAGTCAAAATGTACAGCCCAGGCGTGCTGCAAGCATGAGTACATGTGTGTTGGTAGGCAGGCAAACATGTAAGCGGATAAGTGGCGTTATGGTCTTTAAGTTATGTACTTATCCGGTGAAGTACCGTGTCAAGTAATTATTAGGAACCTTATTGGGATTAGTTTTTAACCGATAATCAAGGTCGTTCATAACGGCTGACTCAAGACGGATTTGAGGGTATCACTTGACAATGGAAAATCCGCAAGCTCACTTCAATGCTGGTAAAATGGAGCACAAATGGATTACAAAAATGGAATCAAGACTGGCAGTGGTTCTCTGTTAATATTCTGAACGATTTATGAATTTCCAATCATTTGATAGAATTTTTGCTTCTTGTTCTATACAAGAATCACTTTTGATATTTTCATGTGGAACGGTGAGTATTGAATTCAGAAACTGCCTAATATGAAGTTCATTTGGATGGAAATGAATGTTTTAGTGGTCAATGAAACGAATTCACTCACTTCGGATTTCCCATTCAGTGCAACAGTCGTATGTGTCAAGCCATGAGCACAAGTACCGTGAGCCAAAACACAACATCAGAAGAACCAACGGCAAATCAGAACCTGCTTTCCCTGGAGTCCACATAGGAAACGGGTAGCTACAAAATGGGGCTTGTTTTATTGAAGAACAAATCGATACGTTGTGTCTTCCCGTGATAAAAGCATTCTAGAAGAATCAACAATGTGTAACTCTGGCATCTGAGAATCGATCACCATGATCGCATCCTGAATATTCTAGATCACCAAGATTCTTCCAAATTCAAAAGCTCCAAGTCAAAAGAGGTGCTTCTTCTAAAAGTCAAAAGAAAAAGAAGCAATTTTTAACATTACATTGATGTTTATCCAGTCAGAACTACGGCCAGGGCAATCCAGATCGGGTAAAATTATGTATTTGAGGAGACGTTGGCATCAACGAGTTGATCTACATGAAGGTCATACGGTTTGAGTCCGCATCTATGGGGTGGTTGTGGGCGACTTATAGCTAAGAAAATCAGGGGGATGGACCAACTGTATTTTTGCAATAAACAGGTGCAAAAAAGGAAAGCCAATCGATTTTGTGGCGCTTTCTTTGAGTAAACGATAAAAACGAGCTGAGAACAAATTTGCATCGATGAACCGAGGTTACCTTCCAAAGTTAGTACACAAAACAAGCGAGCGCGGCAGCATGAAAAACAAAAGGATCGTGTGACAATTGCAAAACGGTTGCCCTGAGTATGAAGCAATAGAATTAAGGCACCAGTAAAAAACAAAAATTATATTCATCACCACCATCATCATCAACAAAATTACAACATTGCTCATCATCCTCATCAACATCACCATCTCGTCATCCGAATCATTATCATATTCATCGTCAGCACAGTAGTCATAAGCACCATCATCTTCATCAACATCTGAACTTCATGATAGTCATCATCAAAATGATTATAATTGTCATCATCACCATCATCATTATCATCCGAATCATCATCAACATCATCATCATCATCATCATCATCATCATCATCATCATCATCATCATCATCATCATCATCATCATCATCATCATCATCATCATCATCATCATCATCATCATCATCATCATCATCATCATCTTCATCTTCATCATCGGCCGAAATATCACTATAATCAGCATCATCATCAAAATCCGAATAATCATATACAGCATCACCATCAACGCAATCGAACCCATCAACTACAACACAGTAATCAGTAAAATCCCTATTGTCAACATAATCATCATCATCATCATAATAAGAACCGTCAACATCTTCACGTGAATCATCATTCTCATAGAAATCATCAACATCGTCATCATTCTCATCATCCCTATCATCCAAATCATCATCATCATCATCATCATCATCATCATCATCATCATCATCATCATCATCAACATCATCATCATCATCATCATCATCATCATCGTCATAACTGTCATCATCATCACCATCTGGATCATTATCCAAATCATCGTTACCTCACACCAAATCAACTTCCCTTTCATCAGCTTCTTGAATCAACTTGTTTAACTTCTTCGTCATTGTCTTTCTGACATTCTTCTCCCTCGTCACTGAACTATTCACCTAGGTAGTCGTCCTTTTCATCGTTTCCCGAATCATCTTTTTCATCTTCTTGCTCATGATGATCAACATAATGGTCCTTGTGGTCACATTCGTTAAGATCGTCATGACGTTGATCACATTTTTATAGTGATCATCACCTCCATTATCATAATCAATAAACTTATCTCCTCTGTCGTCATCATGGTAGTCGTCTACATCAGGTTCATGATCAAAATCTCTTAAGTATCGTCCATTATAAAATCGTCATCCGTATGAAAATCGTCCATTTCACTATCATCAACTTCGGCATCTTCATCATCCGTCAACAACATCATCCTCGATATCCTCATCACCGTCATTATCATAATGATATTTATCATGATGACTTTTCTTCTCCTCCTCGTCTTCGTCCTCATTATCGTTGTCATGTGAATCTTGTTCATCAAGTTCATCATGTTTATCGTGCGATTCCTCATCATCCTAACCGTCATCCAAATCTCCTTCAGCGTCGTCGTCTCAGTAATCATCATACTCATCCTTTTCTCCATCATCAAAATCTCCATCATGTTCGTCATTATCACCAGCACCATCAACATCCGGATCATCTTCATGATAATCACTCGAATCATCGTCATTATCTTGATCACCATCCTCGTGATCATCATCATGATCGTAACGATAACCGTCGGCATCATGTTTATCCTCATCATTGACATCGGCTTCATCATCGATATCATCCGTTTCGTCAAGATTAGCATGAGCACCATCATCAACATCCGGATCGTTTGCGGCTAAGTTATTTTCATCGGCAGCAACAATAGTGCAAACCAAATTGTCTGTTATCTTTAGTAAAATGTTGCTCGTAGAAAATGGCAATAATTTTCCAAAGTGGACAGGGGTGAAAGTATCAACTGTAGGACAATGAAATATGTCCATAATGTTCAACACATGAAGTACGGAGTCTGACTGTGCAAGAGCACATTGATCAATCATTGTGATTCGATAAGAAATGACAACACCATCGGCTCCGTTAACGATTTGGTGTCTTCAGGAAACTGGCTGAAAGATCTATCAAACCACAAACACGAAGGTGTGAGGCAACAACTTCAAATAAGTTCGCTATTGATTTTCTCACTCCCCACTGTCACTTTAACCGTTGACCTCCAGATGGCTTCTTCCATTCATGAGGAGGAAAGAAAAATATGACAAGGTAAGGTAAACATGTGTTTGCTATGCACAACACGTGCCCCAAAACAATGTAGTTTAGTCAGCTGATACACAACGATGAAAACCCACTGAACTGGCACCCAATACTCGATTCCTCACATAAGCTTTGCTCTTTCCATCTAATCTTAGGAATGTTACGCAAACATCGGTGGTAGAAAAACCTCAAAACGACGAACATATTTCGCACGCAGACTCCTTATCCGGAAACTATAAAATAGAAATGAGCGCACTGAAGCATACTAAACACGAATTTTCAACCCCAAAGTAATATCAGGTGTGCGTCACAAGCGCTTCAGTCCAGCACACACAGTTCGACCCTGGGACATACGCGCACTCACCTCTACTACCGTGCTCCCATCCGTTGTCACTCTGCTGCCGAGGTAATTTAGGCTGTCGACAGTTGGTAGCACCTTCCCATCCGGCATCATGCTTGGAAGTGCTGACATCTAGTCTTGCAACAATACTTTATACTTCGAAAGCGCAAAAAGCATGCCGAACTCTTGAGAGTCCCTCTATTGCACGTTGCGCATATGCCGTTCATTTGAAAAAAACAGACCAGGTAGTCAGAGTATTGTAGATCGCATAGCTTTTCACTGTTGTTATTTCGAGGTCCACATCCTGAAGATTTTGCAAGGCATCACGTCTATGACGAAGCTGAACAGAAAAGGCAAAAAGAAACACCCTTGTCAGAGGTCACTGATCATTTCGAACCGATTGGACAGCTAACCGTATACCTTTGTGGCTAGAGGTATGACAGTACAATGGTCTTAATTGGTTCACGCAATTTTGTGGGCTACATTTTCAGTGAACAGCACCGAATAGTGCTGTTCGATCAATTGAATCGGAGGCTCCTTCCGAGTGAAGGAAAACCGTTATTGTCGGTGCACGGTGTGTTTGACACATTTCAAGTAATTGACGAAGGGTAAACATCTGGCCCATGTATCCTCGACTTAGGTGGAATCCTGCCTGTTGTTCGGGGCTTTTTCTTGCGAGCTGATGTCAGACAGCTCAGCGAAATCGGGATAATACCTTCGTGACTGTCGGAATTAAAATGATACGACAATGACAACAATGATCACTGAGTATTACCTTTCTGAGGATGCGCCTAATCAATAACTCATTTCATAATACCGGAATGCACGGAGCAGGGTGGTAAATAATTTTGTCACATCTCACTTTGAAGAGAACTGAGGGAAAGTCATGGGGACAGTTCGTTTTACAAGTTTTAGTAACTGAACGCTCTATTCTATTTAAGATTCTGATGGGGGCTCAAGTAGTACTGACAACGGAATCGCGGTTGTTGATATTGAAGTAATTACGTTCATGCGCGGCCAGCTAAACTGCTCATTGAATTGCTCAGTTCAGCGCACGAGCCATTGCTGTTTGCCATGAAGAGGCTGTCCATTTCTATCGTATATGGTTCACTGGCTGGGACTGTCCGACCGCGGATGTCGTGAATATGTTTTAGAAGTTTATGATTGTTACCTGAAGCACCTGCTACTTCCGTTTCTTCGGTTACCTTGGCCCACCAATCTTTGCGATTCTTCCTCAGGCCGTTTTGTAACTTGTCATCGTGGATGTCTTCGTATCTTATTTATCCGCTAACAGCTCGAGGGCTGACTTTTATACTCTATTAGACTCAGTGACACCTGAAAAATCCATTGTCTTTAATGGACAGCCAGTCTAGTACCACAGGCCAAACCAGCTGCCGAGTGGGTTGCCCATTTGATGTGGGCCCTGAACCCTTTTACACTACTATTCATCCTGGTTCCTAGCTTACACGCCTGCTTTTGATCATAACTGTCCCGAGGTTCTTGGTCAGACAAGCTCGGTACGGTTATTCGGGTTTGTGGTTTGCGTCAGTTACCATGGAGCTGGGGCGATTATCGTATTACCACTAATCCATGGTCAGACTCTAAGTACATGGACCATCGAGATCTAAGTTCTGGTCAGAACTGCACCACCGGTAGCTTACTGAGATATGATCGATCTTGCTCAGAGTATCCGTAGAGTCAGGGCAATACCTCTCTGTGCGATGCGAGGTCAGTCAGAAATTCGTACTAGACAGGAATAACCGATTGCCTGAACAAAACTGGAGAAGCCCTTCCCCGTTATCTGTGCGCTGAGAGGGTAAGGCATAGCCCCCACCTAAACGAGCTTCTGACTTATCAAGTTTTGCCAAATTGTGCATTACAGTCATCAGCTAGCACTACAATGTCACAACCTTTGCCCCAGTAAACAATAGTGGTGGGTTAAGTACAGGATTAGTTGTTCTGCGTGTCAGAGCCGCAGTCTGTTGGAGCAAATACCGAGGTCGCAAACAAATTGCACTTAACACAGCTATCTTTTCGAACACAAACAAACCCCCAGAGTCTCAATATACATAAATGATTAATAACTAGGTTCCAGTTTAAAGAGGTACCTTTAGCCTACTCCAATTTGCCCCTCGACTCTTAGTGCTTCGGCTCCTGAAGTGCACCGGAAATACCCTGGTGAGATACAAGTAGCAGTTAGTTTATTCACACTGCTCGAATCCTTGATACGCGTTTCACTTGCACAAAAGAAGTCACAAGCCCATCCTGGAGCAACGAGTTATCTGTCAGAGTGATTGTTTATGCAATCAGTCTGGTTCTAACCCTTCATTGATTCATTCGGGTACTATCAGGAAGGTCAGTGTTACAGATTCCCCTACAAGAATGCCCACAATGGTAATTCTATTTGTAATTCTATTTGTATCCATCCAAACTGAGCTTCACAGACTGAATGGCCCGTAAGTCCAATAGCTAACCGCCAGCCGCAATTGCAAGGAGACATGGAAGACGATCGTCTACCTGCGCGGCTCTATTCTTGGCAAATGATATCCGCTAGTAGAAGTTAATGAACTCATTCGTGACTTCACTGCAATTTATGCCTCGTAGTTAGCTCAAACCATGATACTGACTCCCAGAAGAACCCCGTCACAGAACGCATCACTTCATCAGACGTATACAAGGGGCTTACTCATCACCACACAAACCAGGCAAGAGGCCCAGTCTATTTACAAAAAACCTTTTTGAAAGAATGCGCAAGTACATTTTCCCCGGTATTTTATGGTCTGTTTGACCTACCTTCAAATCGCAATGTTATTCGGTTAATCTAATGGTGTTTAAAAAGGTTGTACTGAAGGGACCGTCCACCCAGATCAATCTGTTTAACTCAAAATAGTTTGCAGATCGCCAATCACAATGAACATTTGATGCCTTGGCCCCTCCCATCCACTCTGTTTCATCATATGCAGATCGTGAAAACCAAACCATTAGAGTCTGTTTCTTCAATCACTGTGACGCTTATAATGGTACTGACAGACCAAAATTACCCTACGTACTTGATGACTAGGGCGTCAATCCCCCCAGCATTATTCTTTTGTCTAACATCTTTTCATTTGACGACAATTTACACCATAATGTGGCCAAACTTCTTCCATGCTTCCCTGTACACAAAACCATTTCAACACCATTTTCGCTTTGTGCTCATATATCATCTAAGCCCTTCTGAGACAACTGGCTCATGAAATACGTCCATGATTTGTTTTTAGAATGCCCCAGTTTATCAGCTCCGCCATTCCCCTTATACAAGAAACAGCAAGTGAGCTCTTCAAAGAGTCATTAGATCGAAATGTAGGGAAGAATCGCGCGAAAATCCCTGATACTCCGCTTTATCTAAATTAAACCCATCAGAACAGCAACCTGTTGATATCTGACCAAAGACACTGTCATCAATGGTGAGCCAGTACCGAATGTCTCCTCCGTGGAGTACTCTGCTGTAACCATCAGCTGTGACTTTAGCTGGACAGGCAAAGTAGTCCTCACAAAATTCAGACGACTCACCTTTCACTTGATGGGACTCAGGTCATTTTCCACTCCGTTTAGTTTAGTAGGATGAACCGCAATTTCCTACTTTCTTCTGGAATGGCGCTATGCTTCCACGTCATTTTACCCAGACTGCTTGAGAAAGATTTTGTAATATTCGCCAGGTCCCTTAAACAGCTATCTTGACATAGTGGCACCCGGTGCATCCTGCTCATCGCAAACCATGTCTGACCTTTCCTCGTAAAATTATGAAGACAGAGTATCCCCTTTCATCCCGATCCCAAGTTACGGCATATCTGCATCTGGAAATAAATAAAGGAAGCATTTTACATTCACAAATATAATAATTCTCACGTGTATTCTGAATCAAACGTTAACATGCAATTACTTTAGGTAGCGCTGGGTTCTGTGAAGTCGCGGTGAATGAGACTGATAGCAACGGGCACGATGTTCTATAACAATTTGGGTTTGAGTCCCATCATCGCCGGTATTTTCCCCTCTAGGTATCCTTTACTGGTCACGGACCCCTTCTGTACAGCTGAACGTTGTTTGATAACTGGATAAGTAAATAAAGAAGTATATCATCATTCTCGTTTTAATTGAGAAACCAAAAATATTAGGGTTATTCAAAGAAAGCTAAGTTGCTATGAAATTTGGTGGAGATGTTCGGTGATCGTATGCGCCTACTGGAATGTAAGAAAGAGGGTGGTTTTTGACGAATGATGATACTTACATCTATTTTTCTCACTGCACTGCTCTCTCTCATCAACAGTCGAGCGAGTTTCGCAAAATTATTCTTCACTGATACTGGACATGCCCGATTGTCCACCGTCATGTCTTACTGTTTCAGGAGTTACGAGCAGTAACTAACCAACTTGCGAGAAAGAAGGCTTTCTGAAATCCATGTGCCACCTCTGC